ACCTGTTCCCTGTTGGAGCATGCATTTGTGTCTGTTATATTCATGATAATCTATGTAGAAGGGCAATCGCTTTGTTAGATCTCCCACTCTAATTGTTAAGGTGCATTTAACTTTTGAATACATAAATAATAATATTATTTTACATATTGCTCTTGTGTCATTTCTCCTTTATGTAGTTAGAATATGATAGTGAAATTTAAAAATTCCATTGATATTCTGATATTGAACAGTTTTAAATGACACACATAGGCCGTTTTATAAAAAGGGCACTTATGTGTTGGGGATGGAGGGTGGCACTAGGTTTGGTAAGAACCTGAATCACTGATATAGAGAAATTAAGAAAAAATATTGGCATATTCTTATGAAGGAAAGTGGGAGTGAAATGCCTGTTATATGGTGAATTATAATAAAGTAAACATAGTATTATTATCGGTGATATTATATTATCAGGAGAATGACATATCTAATTGCTCCCCAAATCTTTTCCTTCCATATCTCAGGGCTTCCTCAAACTCAGATCATGTCACCAAGCATCTTGTCAGTACCTAAACCATATCCTTCCCCAGGAATTTACTCGTGTGATAAAAAGACATCATCAACTCAGTACTAGCTAATCTAGAAATGGAGCAGTATCAGAGGTTCTTGTCCCATCTTAGAAGCCTGAGCTAATTAGCCACGGTATCCATAAATTCTACGTCTTCCATGTGTTTCAAAGCTATATGTTTTTCTCCATCACCTCCATGACCACATTACTTCAGCTCCCTTAAAGTCTTTTGTTTCCCTTACAGAGAAGGCCTCCAACTGAGTTCTGTCTGCTCATCTATCTCATCATAGCTCTTCTTTCCCGAGTACCTTCCAGTGGTAATCACACCATCTCTGACCTATTGCAGAGTAGGCTGATATGCTGTTCAAGTTTGGAGCAAAGTTAGAAAACATGAGAAACCACTTTTAGTGATCTTATATTTAACCTACACCATCTAAACTTTAGTCATCTCTACCTGTTATCAACATGAACAAATTGATAGAATATTTGGCATCTTCTGCTTTGCAAATTCTGGCACAGATTTTACATTTATAGCACATATCAACGTGGACTAGCTTCACTTCAAATGCAATTTCAAGTGCTTTTGTGTTGTTCTATGGTTCTTAATGTGTTATTTCTGGTAAGCCAAATTTAATGAGCTTTGCTGGGAAATATACCATATTTGTAGCTTCACATATGGTATTCCTTGAGAGCAGTAAATTCTAATGACCCAAGTTATATAATGTATGTAAGTGATTTGTCTATGAGGATGACACTAGTTATATACTGTCCATAGAAAGAATTCATGAAAATATTTACTCAAATAATTTTCTAATGAGATTAGCTCTTCCAAGAAAAGCCTGCATTCTCTAATATTTTGTTACACTAAGATACAGGCATACATGAGGAAAATATTTGAAGTTCTTTAGTGTGTTTCAGTTGAGTATCAGTTGATGTATAATCATATAATCTCACTTGCTCCAAATGTATTTAAGTGGAACAAGGTGTACTTGATTAGTTTTCTGAATAGGAAAAGAATATGTATATATGTATTTATGTGTATATATACACACATATACACACATACATGTATGTGTATATATACATATATGTATGTGTATATATAAGCATATATATACACATTACATACATATGATCTTAGAACAACAAGAAGCGGCTGAAACCCTTTCTCCCAGAATCCTCACTTCAGAAACATGGTTGCTTGGGTATTTCTTCCTACCTTCTCTACCATCTTATCATTGTGTGGAAAGATATGACTAAACTGTCTTATGACCCCGTCAACCCCTCCGTGATTCTTTTTCTTCTTCTTTCTCCCTACCTACATGTGATAAGCTGAAAAGCGAGGTGGGACTTCCAGGGAACTATCCCAAAACATCTATTACCCAATCTTAGTTGTAGACCTTTAGGACCTTTCTTTGGGTACTGTTATTTTCCTCTACCACAAACCTGATTATTCTTTTGGGCTAAGACAGCGGTAGGGGAGCCTAGCTGAGGCCTGGGAATGTGATGTATTCTCTATCCAAGCTTTCAATGCAGAATTGCAAAAGCAGCAGGAAGAGTTGCCTAGCTAGCGTTTACCTCTTCATAAAAATCATCACTTGGCAGATTATTACTTGCCTGAGTTCTAAGTTTCAAAATTCAAAAACAGGAATAACAATAGGACTGTGTCACTAAAATCCTTAACTGGGTATTTAATGGTGAGCACTGAACACAATTTCTAATGATGACATATGTTTCCCTTTGATTGGTTATGTTTTTTTCCGTTGTTATGTTCCCAGTACTAAGAAAAGAGCCTGGGGCATGTTATAGTTCAAAAGATGAATGCACATAGAGATAGGGTAGATAGTTTATGCCAAAGGTAAGTGTGCAACTTCTTGAGCTGGTTTGTCCAGTTTTGGAACCATGTGTGCCTAATAAACATTTAGGTATAAGTTTAGTATAAAGTGAATTTTAATTAAACAAAATATAAAACCTAGTATTTCAGTTAAATCTCCCCATTTCAAGTACTCAATGGTCATGGGTAACTAGGTACCATAATGGAAGCACAGCCAGAGAGCAGCTTTTTTTAAAATATACTTTCTATTTATTACAGAAAGTTCTATTGAGCACAGAGCTAGGTCCCAGGTGCCTGCTATTCCACTTAAAACCACATTGCCCAGCAAATTGCTTCCTTTTAGTTTTATGAAATGAAGACAAAAATACTTAAAAACAGCACAGTACATTTCTTAGGGCTCCTAGTTAAAAATATAATTTCAAGGTGGTTCTGTCCCCAGAAAAAGGACCTGGATCCCGAGTCCAGATACATTATATAAATATAGAGCTCATCCTCTGTGGTTCAACTAAGAGACTGAGTCAAGGATAACAATTTTCAGTACTCAAATTATAAGTTAACACCTACTTCAAACCATGAAAAATGAGAATTTTAAACCTGATTGTGATTCATTTATAGTTAGAACTAAAACTCAAGACTGATTCTCCCTAACACTAAGATGCTCGAGATTAAATGATTCCCTTGGAATTTTGTCCCTCCCAAAGTAGGGCACGTGGCTGTAAATGGCCACTGCCTGTGGAGATGTGGATTCTCACTAGCTCTGATAGGTAAGATGCCTATATAATTCTTTGATGTTATTTTTGAATATATAAAATAATTAAGTTACTTAAGTTTCTCGGAACTTACATCCATCAGAGAAATCCTATTGCACCTTTTTTACTGTTTCCCTTTTAATTAAACACAAACTAATAAAACTTTGTTTAGATTGTGAATTTTATCAATCTATTAAAGCATTTTTAATAGAAGAATTTAAGAAAATTTTGCATTATTTTAATAAATTCATTTATTTGATCTTGGAGTATAAAATTTATAAAAGCATTTTTCTGAATTTTATTAACATCAAATGACAATTCTTATTTTTTTTAATTATACAAGTTTTAGTATTCTTGAATAATGTGTGTCAGATCGATAGGTTAAACAGTTTAGGTACTAGTAATTTGAAACTTGTTTTAGGTAGTGAATGAAAATAAGATAGTTTGGTTCATTTTAATGAGTATCAATATTCAAGCTAATTTATTTATGAATCTAGAGTATGAATAGAGAAGCTCACAATCAATGAAAACATTTTCATGTTCTTTTGATGCAAAAAGGAGATAAGGATTGTACTGTGGCAATGTGGCAATCTATATGTGACCATATTTGACATGTTCTAAACTAATAGCCTTTGTCATCTGAGGAAAATATTTTCTTATCTCTCTCCAATTTACTCAACTCCAATATCCCTCCCTTCCTTCCTTCCTTCCTTCCTTCCTTCCTTCCTTCCTTCCTTCCTTCCTTTCTCTTTCTTTCTGTAAGTTTGGTCAAGGGTTCCTTAATGGTTTCATTCAGTATTGCATACTGACAAAGACCTGTGTCCCAATGTAGACAATTAAACAACTTCTACATGATTAAGTCAATATAAGGTTTCAAGAATCTATCCCAAAGTCACATCTGTGACAAAGTTTACTCCTTCCTGTTTCAGCAGAGTAACTGCTTCTCTTTGTGTTAATAAAAATAGCAACTGCACCTTTATTTTAGCACTAACATACGTGTATATGTGTGTGTGCGTATTTTTTCTCACATATAGGTCTATTTGTGTTCTTCATGGTAGGAATTATTTTTACCTAAATAATACTTGGTATGGTACTCAGTTCAGAATAGGCACTCAAAAACCATTTTGTGAATGAGTGAGTACATAAGATAAATTAGATAGAGGAGGAAGGAGTGATTTCAATTTGCTTGAAATCACGATGCACAAACCAAGACAGAAATATCTTATGTAATCAAAATTCTAAAAAAAAAAAGTTCTCTGAGATAGATATTTGACTCACTGACTATGCTGACCTTTAATTTGTCTTTGTAAAACATAGTTGAAAAAGACAGTCTGACTCATAAAACAAAGTAGGTAAATTGTAAATCCACCGATCGGAGGTTTTTGTAAGGAAATGTTGTTAAGATTTTGACCTTTAATGAGTTTTTACTCTTATTATTAAAAAGGTTCTGATCTTCCATGTTAAGACAACTATGATTTCTTGATAATTCATATTTATTTCAGATGACTTTTGCCATTTCACTCTGCTAAATTAAAACAGAGGCTTCCCGGGTGGAATTTCAGGTATGGATGCATGCTGGGAGGGAGTGATCATTTGCTTTCTGCAACTCTATTCAGCCTGAATTATCAGGCCTGACCCGGCTTTGACTCCCAGGACTTCATTTTGTGATTTGGCAGCATTCTGCTCTAATTTGATGACATATGGAAGCCAATGGCTGTCTTCTCACTTGTTCAAAGCATTCATACTTTGCACACCTCAGGCTGGGCAGAGTCCAGCAATGAACATCACAGATGGTACACTGGTAGCATCAGTACTCCTTTAGAAACAAAATTGGGAGATTAAAATGGAAAACAACACATACAAACTAGACACCTCAAGCATGTAATTGTATATTTATTTCTCTTTTTAAAGAACACTCCTTAATGTAATTCAATATACAAACTTGGTTTCACAGAATTATAATCCACTATATAGCACAAAGGTAACCCAGATTGTACGTGTGCGTGTGTGCACATGTGTTGTCCCCCCTCCCTTTCTTTTATTCTTCCGGACCTACAAAGGCTCTGCTCACCGTCAACACTATCCAAAGCCCCTTCTCAATGTTCTATACAAAAGACGTCATCCTCCCGTGAGTTCTTTTCCCTGGAAAGCTTCTTTCCCCATTCCCCCTGAGATAGCCAGGAGTATGACACTCTTCCCTCTTCCAATAGGTAAAGTGACTTCCCCTAAAGCTGATGCCAACCCTGTTACCGTGTGGATTGGCTGGCAGGAAGGGCCAGTGAGTGAGTCTCCACACCCCTTCCTGCTTCCACACCCCACCTTCAGAGTCCAAGCGCAATTCCTCTGTAGTAGCCTTAGTTCCAGTCACCAAGAACCAAGGACATTCTTACGCCCAGGTCTTCTCCATGGACAGCGCACAGCACTGCCTGCCAAGCCACCGGGCCGGCCGATAACCAAGCTCTACACAGTCCCATGTGCTTTGTCACTTTAATTTTTAAAGACACCCTAGCATAGGTCTGTGGCAACCTAGTGTCCAATCGAGTTACATTAAATTGTACCAGTGATGCACTTGTACATATTTACATGGGGCGGAATGTTTTCCCATATTTTCAGATGAGTATATAGATCAACATGTTCACATAAGACCAAATACTTTTAATATTATTTATAACTGATTTATAAAGCTTTGAAAAAACTCACAATAGCACATTGTTTACTTTAATGCTTTACGGTACTATCAGTTTAAAATCACAATCAGCACTTAAGTTATAGTCAATCCAGCAAACAAGAGAGAAAAAAATTTACAAGCGTTAAGAACTGACTGATACATCCTTTATCTTTTTTAAACTAATGCATAAGTGCAGAATAAGATACTCTAGTTTAAATATCTTGTTTACAATATACATTTTTTGTTCTACTTACGCAACAGTAAATCCCATGCTTCACATAGAAAAGCAATCCACAACATTAAGAAAAAATGTACAATTTATGAAACAAAGTAAATAAATATTAGTATTACAGAATCAGAGCTGTACATAAAAGCTGTTCAGTTTTAATCATATAAAAATATGTTTTAGTGCAACCTCACATATATTTTGATGCTGTTTTGCTTTACATCATTTAGATCAAGTGTCCAAAAAAGGAAAGAAATTACATTTATTACAAAGCAGATACACAAATTCTAAAATATGTACAAATTACTGCTAAAAAATGCTTATAAGAATATAAGCAAAGTAAAGAAAAGGCACAAACATCTGTACAAGTTAAAAGTACCAGACCCAATAGGTTAATTTCAAATTTTTGTTTTGGTCAGGCTCATGATGACTTGTTAATTCACCTAATTCTTTTGAAATAACAAAAGTATATATAATAGCAAACTACTGTAACTTAGGACAGGCATGCTATAAACTTGATTACCTCTATTTCTAGAAAAACAAAAACAAAATGGGGAGATGTGAAAACGAAAGTCTCCATGCATCTTAGATCAATGTAACTGACTCTTTTCTGATGAAGACTCTTTGCCTTCCTCTGTGCTTGAAGGTAATTCTTTGCTGCCATGAAAACTCGACTGCTTGTCTTCCATACACCTCTTACCGTAAAACGTGGAGTGAGCTAACGCAGTCTGTGATGTACCAAAATTGTCCTTTTCACCATCATGCAAGTCAGGGTGGGTAGCTGAGGTACAGGGCTGGCCTGGCTCAGGTCCACTAAAGTGTCTAATGCTAACATGTGCACTTTCTAAGGGTTTCTGATGGGGCTCAAGCACCCTTGCGGGCTGATCTGATGCCCCAAGCAGAGCGGCCTCTTCTGTGGCAATCCGAAGAGAGGCAATGGCTTTTGTACAAGTCTGTATGTTTTCCTCCTGTTCCCTCTCTGTCGCGTTTAGGCTGTCTTCTGAAGTGCTCTGTTTCATCAGGAGCCGAGGAGAGGAGGGTGTGCTAGGTGGACCAGATGACTGCAAAAGATGTGGAGATCGTTTCTCCTGCTGCTTAGAAAGAATGTAGGGATCCTTGGAGAAGGAGTCCCCGGAAGCGCCTTTCTTCTCTTCAGAGCTTTCCATTGGCAGAGGCAAAGTGGGTGGAGGATGTAAACCGGAAAGGGCCGGCGGCATGGAGTGAACCATTTGGATCCCACCAACTGGCACCATTGGGATAGGAGCTCGCACTTGTTGCTGGGAGTGGAGTGGAAGATGACTGAAGACATAGTCATTAGGACCCTCAGGGAAAAGGCTGGAGCCTGGATGTTCATAAGCACCTTCTTGGTCTCCATAGAGACTGAAGTAAGGAACCTGAGGTAATCCTCTTCTTAAATTCTGCATGGGGAGACAGCACAACACTTAGGATCCACCACTACTCAAGCAAGGTCAAGTTAGTTCCTGCACTCATTCAGTCAAAACACTATAAGAATAACTTAGTCTTTTTAGCAGTATTTTCATTTTTCAAGACAAATGAAATTTTCTCAGTTGTCTCTTAGAAACTTTGAATGAAACTGTTGCTCTGTGAAAGTTACTTTTGTTTTTAAACATTAATGTGATAAAACATGCAGCGTGTTCACCACTCCACATACAGAGACACGTGTCAGCTATTTTGTGTGGTGGTTTTTCTGACTTTTTTTCTTTTTTTGATAAGAAGGAATGCAAAGAAAATAATGGGTAATTGCCAGATAAAATTCACGAGACAAAAATACTTAAGATTTTTAAATTCAAAAGAAAGTAGAAAGACTGCCATCTGTTTATATAGTGGGCAGATTTTTGATATTTTTCTTAAATTCTGGTGAGTGTAACTGGAGTGACACTTTCAAACAGAGACTTGTTTTCTTTCTATCTTATTTTAAGTTTTCCACAGAACAGATGACAATATAAGTGAGGTAAACAAACTGGTTCCTCCAAAGTGCAAGACACTAAAATGTATTCCTACTCCAGAGATATCCTGGGTAGAACTCAACTTCTTCATCAAGTAACAGATCAAGGCCAGTTCTTGTAAGAAAAACATCTATCCATCAGAGTAATTTCTCAATGTGAAATAGGACTCATTCAGCTACACAACTGAGATCCCAAAATGTTTGTTTATATTCATTCCACTTACATAATTTTTAAAATTGACTTAAAGATTCTTCAAATTTAGACCAAAATTTCAGATTCTGGCCTACAATTCGTGCTCACAGAGCCTGTGATATGAAAAAAATATTTTCTCTAGCAAAACAACAGACGGTAATAATGATAAGGCTCTAATGAGATTTTTCAGATTTTAATGATAAAGATTCTTGCTTTTAATGCATTATCATCTAAAAGGGACTCTATTTGTTTGTATTTAATTCAAATATCATATAGATTAAAACCATATATACTACTAAGTCCAGGAGCTAGACGGACCGACACACAGACATTTTTCATTCACTTCAAGGAAGTTTCAGTTCTGAAACTCAGAGTATGAGTGACATAAAAAAAAAAGGTTCATTTAATTCTAGTTAGATGATCAGACTGGATCAGGAGTAACAGGTGAAGCATCACCCCTGCTGCTCAGTACTACTCTCTTATCCTTCTCTGGACTACACCTTAGTCAAGCTAAAAATAAATTACTTGTCCTAGAACTGAGAAATAAATCAAGTAGTCATTAATTCTTTAATCACAAAGACCTTATAAATTAAGTGACGTGACACTTTTATGGTAATAAAACTCATTTAAATGCTACCATTCCCAATATTTCTCTTATATTCAACTGGCCTTAGAAATAGGCTATTTCTTTTGTAAAATACCTATTAAAATTAAATAACCATAATACCTTCAATAGTAATCCTGCCCAAAATCAATTTTCTTTTTTAAACACAATGGTCACAGATTTGAAGTTTAAAATGAAATATGGCTTGCTAATTTTTCCAATTTGGTTGCTGTTTTGTGATGTCCACCAGTCACACATAATCAGAATGGGGATGGATGAGACAGCCAAATGATGAATCACATGTATTAAAATGGAAAAATTATTTTCTTTAGCAGAACAACAGACCGTGAAATGATTAGACTTTAATGAGATTTTTTCAGATTTCAATTATAAAGATTCTTGCTTTTAATGTATTATCATCAAAAAGGGACTCCATTTGTTCTTATTTTAATTTGTTTAAGAAATTTAAATTGTGTCAAGTATATATATATGTATATATATGTTTATGAGAAAGGTGAATAAACAAGAAAGATGAAGACATAAGACCAACTTGTCCTTGTTACATGAGTTCTCTAATTAACACGTGCCTGCTCCAATAGAATTTTATTTGTACTGAGTATAACTTCTATATGGATCTTTATGGATGTACTGAGTATAACTTCTATATGGTCTTTATGGATTAGAAATGAAACCACCGCAATCAAAGAAGTTAAGTGTAAAAGTACAGTTTACACCATGTTAGCACATCACAAAGCTGTCAAAAATCTTCACATATCCTCTCTCCTCCTGTTGACCCCATCTTCACATCCTATTCAACTCATTGTGTTTTCTACTTCATTTGCAATACTATATTATTTTATAATTTAGGTTTATCATCTTAATGTGGTAACGTTCCTATCTGATACATAATACAAATGATGAATTCACATTCCCTAACCCTAACCCTAACCCTAACCCTAACCCTAACCCTAACCCTAACCCTAACCTTCACATTGCATTGTGTGTAAATATATAAGGATGTACTTATAAAAATCAAGGAAATGCCCTATGCTATGTATATATATATATATGTACACACACACACACACACACACACACACACACACACACATATATTTGACTCAGCAGTATCAGTGGGTCTCCCAGAACTAAATGCTAAGGAGGTGAGATAGTGACGTTCCTTGTGTAAGGGAGGTCATGGAATGAAAGAGAGGGGACTGAGGGGAGTTGACACAGATAATGGTAACAGGGAGAGGAAGCAATTGCTAGGCTGTGAGTGACCCCAGCTCATAAATTCACTAGAGAGAAAAGCATAGCCATGGCTTGAGTTAAATAATGCCCATCCTAAAGTTGCTAGCAACGGTAGTAATGTCACCTCTCTGCATTCCTCTCAGAATAGCAAGCTCCTTCTAAGACAGAAACTTCCTTATTAGTCCACCTTCCTGGCTGACACAAATAAGAAAACTGTGCAGCCCATCCAAAATCACAGAGACAAGAACTGAAATGGACTCTTTCATTAGGCCGTGTTCATCTACAATAATGTATACTTTTTGTCTCCTTGCTAGTTATTCACTAAATCTTTGAAAATAGAAAGGAAATGTTTTATTTATTTTTAGTAATAAAGGGCCAGAAGCCATAAATTTTAATTCTTATCCTTGAGACATACATAGTATTATCCTCAAATAAATATCTACCCAATAAATACTTATTTTCTTATCATTCCATTAAAACTTATCATAGTTATGTGGTAGATCGTGAGCATACTGTCTTCTCTAAACCTGCTTCTTAGGCCTCTCCATGCAGACAGAATTAGGTAATGTGTAAACTGATTACAAGGTCCATTCTAGCCCTGTGTGAGCTCTTGCTTCGTGACAAGCAACAGACATTGATTGACTTTTTTCAGTTTATGGCTCTGAACTCAGGGATCACCCATAGCAGGCTTGTGAGCCACAAGCAGTTCTGGGGATGTAAACTAGGTTTGCAAGTGCCTTACCTACTATACTATATCTCTGGCCCCAAGGGATTTCTATAAATGCAATTTTCATCAAAAAGAAATAAATACCTGAAGAGTCATTCTAATTGAATATAATAAACTCTCCAATTAATATAGTAACCAGGCTATATTAATTAATTAAAGGACTTCTCATGGTATCAACAAATTTATTTGGCTCTGGCAACTGGAATCTCCTTCACACATTGCAGAAAGATGAAAATCCTCCACTCAAAAAAACAGTGGGATAAAACACAAAAATGGTAGGTGTTTGGAACCCATTTGCTAGCTCTTCAGAAAGGACTCCAGATATTTCCCTCATATCATCCACCAAAGCATCAGGCTATTTATTCTCAAGAGATCAGACTCAAAACATGGGCTTCATAAGTGGTAAAGTCCAATGATTCTATTAAATATCAAGGTGAACTGTTATTTTCAAAAATACGTTGTAAATTGAAACCCAAGCATCTACAACTGTACCTCATGGTGTTTCACTAACAAAAATTTAAGGAAAAAAATACGTTGTAAACTTAGCAATTTTAAGACCAATCTCCTTCCAACAACTTTTTAGGCATGTATCCAAGAACAGCCTTCATTCAAGCCTTCAATTCCTTTGCCTAAATTGGGGCTGCTTTCATTTTTTAATAACAGTAGTATGCAGATAGTAATGACTTAATTTTTTGTGAGTACAGCAAGTCCTTGAATAAAATAGTTCCTATGCTGTTTTCTTCTAAAGTTGATGAGAGGACCAATAAGGAATCTAAGACAATACTGCCCATTGTAGGATCTGATCTAGCTGTTTTCCTTAACTTCACAGTTTCTAAGAATCTACCAGTGTGAGGTTGATATTGGACTTTGGTCTACAGTCTCAGTCCACTTCATCAATGTCAGAATAGGAGTTCCTGGTCTCACACCTGTGAGGATCATGATCTACCCCCCAAAAGGCATTCTCCAACTCCGTAGCTGGATCCTGGCCTTTGAAGGAGTGACCTCTGTTCTCTATTTAAGATGCAGAGGCATAAACTTGAGAACCCCCCCCCTTTTTTTTCTTAGCAATGCCAAGGCACAAAAAACTTATAAATGTGTACTCATTTTTAAGCACTTGCTAATTACTCTGGCAAGTAAATTCTGTTCTGCTGTTACCCATGTTTCTGAAGTCATGACAGTATGAAGACTAATCTGGTGGCAGGCCTGTGAAAAAGACCCTCCTGTGCTGAGAATCTGGAGCATTCCTGAAATTCAAAAACATCATCTAGGCTTCTGAACCAGGTTGAAAATTTGATGAGCTTAAGAGAGTAGCCTTCGGCAGCATAGGAAGATGGAGCCAGGTAACTGTCACAGGGACTTTCTTTGACTCTGAAGCACTAACCCACTGCACAAGGATGTCAAAGCAAGTGGGACCAGCTGAGAACAGAGGGCAGGCAGTCAACATTCAAACACAGGAAAACAAAGGAACTAAAAATGTAGCCATCCTGTCTAAGCTACATGGTCAGTTCACTGTTTTTTAAAATATCCTACACAAATTATAACAAGGACATGAGAGTTTATGATGGCAAGGAATGAGGCAGGGCAGGTGCTTTTTGACATATTAAATCTGTGACCTAAATTGGACCCATGACTGCTGCTGTTATCTGAATTTCTAAATCACAGCATACCATAGAATTTCTGATCCCTTCTCCCTTGGCTCTCCCAATGCACTTGGCAGCAGGAGGAAGAAATGCACATATGTGCCTGCCTTTGATTTACAAACATGCCCAGGGCCATCGTCTCCTCTCTCAGTCCCTCACTACTTTTACATGTCCACTCAGAAGGCATGATAATTAGTCTATTTAAAAGACAAAAAAATTTAAAAAATCATTGAAATTCAATATGGATGCTTATATCAGAATTATAAACTTGCTAAGAATTTTATCACACACAAGTCTATGGCCCTGAAAGTATCTTCCAATACAGGTATGTCATTAAAAAATTTACTTTTTCTACTCATGACATTGATCAAGGCACTGCTGCTGAGGTAATCCTGCACTGGGGAATAATGCCACATCCATGTTACTGACAACCATTGGAGCCAAAATTGTCTTGTTATTTTTGGAGCCAAGGTCACTCACGATCATGAGAAACCCAGGCGTTTATTGGTTCTGATTTTCTGACCAAGGATGGGCAGGTGGGAAATGCAAAGCAAGTGTTTTAAATCCTTGTAGCATCTCTTTGACTCTCAAGACAGCCAGGTTACAGTCCATTTCACATTGATGTGTTATCAAGAGGCTCTAACATGATTTCACTTGTTTACTGGAAAGAGAGAGCGGATCATACTTACAGGAGGCCCCAAGACAATTGGCTCTGCTTGCAAATACGGTCCCATGGACAGTGGTGGATTGTGGTATAAAGCCCTTCGGGGAGATGGCGCTCTGATGGTGGTCATGTACCTTCTCTCTCTTCTGGGAGAGAGGTCTCTTCTTGTGATGATATCTTTCCCAGGTGATAATGGCCTCCTTGGGGACAGATGCCTTCTTGGCGAAATATCTCTCTGTGACATCTCTCTTCTCAGAGCTGCTTCTTTTCTTGGTGAAAGGTGTCTCATGGGTGATAGCTCTCTCCTGGGTGACAAATGTCTTCTGGGTGATAAATCTCCTTTGGGTATCAGATACCTCTTTGGTGAATTATCTCGACAGGGTGAAGAATCGTATCCCGGTGAGGAATGGTGGCTTGAGGGTGAGAAGTCCCTCGGTGAGGAGCTGGGCTCTGAAGACAGCATGTACTCTTCATCCATACAACTCGGTATGTCCAGCCTATCTTTGTCTGGTTCGGAGTCTGTACTTTTGCTCTGGAATAACCTCTGGTATTCTGTCATCTGGGTATCTTCACAAGAGTCGCTTGGTGTCATGAGCTGAGTGACCTGAATACTTGGCAGAGTAACCAAATAGCTGATCAATGAAGAATGTCCCAGGGAACTATCCGAAGGAACCCCGTGGGGTACAGCGCCAACATTCACAGGCAAGGAGGAGAATCGAGGAGGCTGAGGACTGGTGCTTCTTGATCTTGTTTTTGGTGTCAAATCTCCCTGGTCATCAAAGTCATCTTCATCTTCATCATCGTCATCGTTATCATCTCCATCTTCGCCATCTGATTCTTCAGCATCTGAGAACTGATGGTCAGTTGAAATGCTGGACATGCTATGCTTCTCAGCCCCTTTATGCAAATCTTCCATCGTTTCTGAAAACATTAAACAGAGCAATAGTGATTCAGACCCAATCATCAAGGTGAGGCCCTAAATTAGGCACCATAAACCCTGCAAAGAGAACTTAGTCTCTTTTAACTGGAGTGAGACTCACTGAGAACTTACTGTGCCCTTGGTCTAAGGCTTTGCTGATCTGATTTCTTCCTCATCCTACAATAAGTATTTCAGAATAGGATCTTGTATCTTACATATCACATCACTCAGAAACCCCTCAAAAAATGGGGTCCAATGTGATTATTGAACATGCTTGAGTGAAAGAAAAGAAGTGATTATGTCCCTGCAGGTGTAAATTTACATAAAAGTGTCCCTACATGTATATGCTTACATAACATACAACATAGGAGGTTTGTATGACCCTCAGATTGTCTCTAGAGGTCAAATACAATTTTTCTACTAGATTTCTTAATAGGAAAAAATAAACATGAAAATGCTTGTCTAATTCCCCCAATTTTTTCATAAAACCCAAATCACATCCCATTAAAAGGCAGCATCACATTAATATTTAAATACATATCACAATACACAGGCAATTAGATATTTTTATGGTTCTAGATAAAAGTATTTTCATAGTTAAGGCCTTTCTTCTCTTCCATCAGAATAGAAATGCATCTAATACTTTTCTGTAGGTTTCAAGCAATTCAATGTGTCAAAACTTCTATCTTTAGTATTTAGTAAAATGAAATGTGATCAGTTTTTGAAAAAATATCTACTTATGTTACCATCTTGGCTACAAAGCTCCAGCAAGAGAAGGGACGAAGTAAGTCAACAAAATGGTAAAATACCTGCTTCCTCCGTCTCTGTGTCTTCTACTGATGTCATCGAAACACCCAACTCCAGGCATTTTTTCATGTGTGCTTTAGATTTCATATGCTTCGTTAGGTTTCCTAGAAACCACAGACCCAAAGAGAACAAAAATCATCAAAACTTAGGAATTATATTTTTTGTCAACAAGTGGTGATGCTTTAAAATTCAATTTGATGTGAACAAAAGATAACATAGATGAGATCCTGAGAGATAACTCATAGGTGTGTGTACCTTGTAAGCACCAGACTATGGGTTCAATCCCTGGCACTGCAGAGTTCCCAGAGCTGGCCCTCGTGGCCACTAGGACTTTTGGGACAAAGCACCATTGAATTGCAGACTCTGGTTGTGCAACAAACCATCAGATCTGCATAGTAGGGCAGAGTACAGTAGGAAGTGCTCCTGGAGCACTATGGGAAAACTCTCCCACCCACCAAAAACTGGAAAACATAGATGTGTTTGATTCCCCCAAGTTTGCCTCACAATTAAGATGAATGATGAGGTTTCTGAAGATACCAACCATTGAGAGCTTTAATTCATTCTCAGTGAATTAAAAGTAGGCTCCAGGTATGACTGGGAATTTCAGGTTTTTCTAGATGAGAAGTGATCTAAAATCATTGGCTCAAATGATTCCTAGGATTCCATATAAATATTGTAACATAAGTCTGTTACAGTTCTTAGAGAAACTTTAGTGCACACTATCATCATAAACATACCCACTGAACCCTGGATCCCAGGAATTCATCAGTTTACAGATAAAACTCAGAGAAGCCTCACTGGTCAGAAGAAACTAACTGTACAAACTAATATTAAAAGTAAATTAATCTATGGGTGTTGGAACATTGGATGACTGAAACCCAATCATAAACAACTTTGTAACTGTGTATCTTATGGCAATTTAAAAAGCAAAACAAAAAAGTCAACCCTGCAAATGACTTCATATTCACACAAATACTTAGCTAACTAATTAAGCAAACATTACTTTTAGTTATTAGTATCTATCGGTATATGTTAGCAAATTTTATAAAAGTGATTTCTACAGTTCCTAAGCCCTGATATAGTCCCTTATTTATTTTTAAACTCCCATCAATGGCCAAGACCCAGAGACTATAAAAATCAGCTCCTGGAAGCGCGCAGTCACATTTGCGGCCGCGTGACATCTTATTATCTCATTCTTGCTTTGGACAACTTGGCAAGCTACCGAATGTAACCTGCTCAAACTGCAGAGTCTGTCAAACTCCCCGTGGCGTACCCAATATGCCAAATACCAGTAACAATAATTGGTCTCATTCTCCTAACCCTGAAAGAGCCTTGAATGTTGCACTTTTTAGAATCTCAGGGCTAGGACGAAGGATACATTACTGGTGCCTGCTCGAGGCAATAGATGAACAATAGGATGATGATGATCGTGATCATTATGAGAAAAAATGTTGTCAGGCCTTCCATTATTTTAAGAAATGTTATGTCAAATATGTATTATGACATAAATATATATGTGTAAAGTTGTCTGTATACATATATCTTTATGGTTTTGCATATTTTTATAACAAGTGTTGGAATTAAGAAATGATCAAAACACTGAAGTAATCACCTCTGACTTAGGATCTGATAATACCATATACATTTATCTTATTTCATGTTATATGTATAACTTAACAAAAGAGATCCAGTAATAAAGGCCATATTATTACCTATGCTATCTGAGGAGCCTTAGCACTGCGCCAGAAAATGCTTTATATTTAAAAGCAGGCCCATTGCATCCTAGTGGAAAGTAGCTTTTTTCCCCTTCCAGAGGTATTTGGCTTCCTACTAATGTAAATAAAAAGTAATATACATGAAATAGAATGCTGGATATTTGTTTTTTACCTTACTTGCTAATATACCTGTGAATTCTATTTGCTATTTTGATAACTCCAAATACAAAAATATTCCAATTCCTAGTTTTCTTAATGATTCAAAAATGATATCCATGCCTTTTTCTACAGATGTCAAAAATATTTTACAGATTACCAAGAATTATAAGATTATGGAAATTAAGTATACCTACAATTCCTGGAAGTTATATTCTGCAAGTATACATGTAATCTGTGTTTGTGCATTGATAGGGATGTTACGTATATAAGAAGTAAAATTATTTCCATCTTAATATGATCTCTTATTTTTCCCTCTCCATCCATTGTAAGCAGGCGAGCAGACTTAAGGCTTTCATTATTCAGTCTTGGTTTGCAATTAGATGTTGAACTCTGAAAAAAATCTTAGTCTGGCTCTGGCTTATTAAAGTCTTGAACTTCTAAAGGATGGATTCCAGCAAGACAGGGGGAGGAGAATAGTATGAGAAAGGCTCTGGATTCATGACCCAGGCCTGGGGGAGGAACCAGACCTACCAACTGTACTTCAGAAATGCACTCAGTGAGCTGGCCTGTCAACCGGAACTTCAATTACGTGAAAACGAACTCAGGTTTCTCAGGGTGGTTTACTCATTTTAATAGTTCAAGTCATCTGTCTATTCCCAAAGGGCAGCATGAAAAGTCCAGTAGTGGCCACAGATATATTATTTGCTGCAAAACCACTAGGATCATGATTTGTAGGCCTATTTAATTTGCTTTGAAAAAATATAGCAATGTGATAGTTCTTCATCCACTGTTTTAACAGCTATTCCTGCAGTCAATCCATACTCCCTATCAAGGTTTATCAGCTGACATGACAGGCAGGTAGAGGTAGAGTTGCAGCACTTCCTAAAACCAAAGTTTACATGTTCTGTCCCAGAAATTTCTCTCAGCAAAGCTATATACAAAAGGCTTAGTTATGCAAAAATGACTGATATTTAGAAGAACCTCAGGGTTGTCCTCTGAAATGCAAGTGAACACTCCCCTTCTCAGGCATCAAAGGAGGAGGGTACAGTAATATAAAGACTTCTTTAGGAGAGGGGTCTCCCAAGTAGTGTCCAGAGGCTCAAGGCGCCACTCTAGGTGATATTCAAGGGACGGTGAGATTTTGCAAATTGAATCCAAGAGTTTGGTATACCATGCAATTACTCTAACCCAATGAGCTAGCTCCATGGGCCAGGACTATATGTACTAAGCACACATTTTAAATAAACAATAATGTTAGAAATTAACATATTTATACTCCTGACAAATCAAATGAGGGCAATTTGGGTTTTGGCTCAAAGAGAAAGTAGGAAGACAATGCCAAAAATTATTTCATTTGATACTTGATTTTCTTTATGGCTAACAGAGCAGATTGTCATTAGAGTAAAAAGTTGGAAAATGATGTGAGATTAGTGAAGGAATATCTACAGAGTACATTAGTAAGTAAAATATATTTTTTACAGAAGTCTAACACCTCTAGTTTCTAGCTTACACTAACAAGACTGGATTTACGACTTTTGGATTTTGTAAAACAATACAACAAGCCATCTTCTGCAGAAAATATCACTATAAATCTGCAAGGTAAAAAATAGTATTTTAAAGAAATATTATCATTTTATGGCAAGTCCTAATTTTATAAGATTAACCATTGTGGCTTGAGAGTAAGAAACTGTCTCTGTGCTGATAAATACACAAAACATAAGCTATTAAGCCTCTATGCATAATTAATGCAGCTGTGGATGGAGAGGCCCACCTGGGAGTCTGTGGGTCTTTACATTATTTATAATCCTGAAACTGACCACGGGCACATGTTTTTCTTTCCAGCTGCTGTCTTGCTTTTTTAATGCCACTGCATGGACTGTCTCCCGGCACTTCAGTACGGGTGCAAAGATTATCTTAACCACATAACATTTCCAACATGAAATAATAGCTATCCAGGCAATTCTTAGCCACTTCCTTTGGAGACAACTGGGCCTGGACCTAAGACTCCAGCTCTTAGTCAAGTCATAAAAGGAGTCTGGCTGTCTCACATACATCCTTTGATAGCTTACATGAAGGAAAATATATATTTCATGGCATCCTATTTTCACAAACAAAACCATCTTAATGTGTATAAGAGTTATAAAATGCTATTGAGAATTCAGGGGTGGGGTAGGGGAAATGGGGTGGGGGTGTTAGGAGGGATGCTGGGACCATTGGTGGTGGAAAATGGGCACTGGTGGAGGGATGGGTACTTGATCATTGTATGACGGAAAAGCAAGCACGAAAGTTTGTAAGTCTGTAACTACCTCACAATCATTCACTAATGAAAAGAAATAGAGAATTCAAAGTACCCATAAAAAAAAATTCAACCTGTACCTTTCGTTTTGAAGGCGAAATTACACAACTTGCATACATAAGGCCGGACATCAGTATGAGTGCGGATGTGTTTTTTGAGCATACTTGGCTTCTTACAGCGAATCCCACATTCTTCACATATGTACTTTCCACGTCCACGTCCTCTGACATATACATAATCTTCATTTGACTTATACCTGTTTAAAAACGTGAAACCAACATGTTATCTATGAAAACAAAAACTAATTGTCTGCATGGCAGGTTTGTATGAGGATGTTTTAGAAACAATTATTCAGTTTTACTTCTACAAAGCCTATGAAATTCATGTAGTTATTGCCTGGAAGAAATTTGATAACATATTGGCATTGTAAACAAAATGTCACTTACTTTCCTACATTAAGTTCAACATGAAAACTAAATTTATTAAGTAAATATATGGGTTTTATATTGATGGATTGTACTGTATTGATGTTTAAATACAGAATTTAGAGTAAAAGGGTTGTATCTTATTATTATTTTGAGGGTTGGGAGGGTCACACCTGGTGGTGCTCAAGGTTTACTCCTGGCTCTGCACTCAAGGATAACTTCTGGCAGGCTAAGGAGATCATATGGGGTCCCTGCATGAAAGGCAAGTGCTTTACCTGTTGTACAATCACTCCAGCTCCTATTTTGGATTACAATATAACCTTCAACGAAAAGAAATACAAAAAAGTAATTCTAAATCATCACTGACATTGAATATTACATCATCCAAGATGAGAGTGCTCAGCACATATACTCTAAATTTGCTGAAATAAATATAACTGATAATAGAATTCTTCATTGCAAGTTTCTACTCTATTTTTATAATGCTGGCACGGGAGTGATGAAGAAATTTCTAGCTTACACAAGCTGAGCTGATCTCACCAACTGTTGTCTACAGATTTGCTTTGTTCATCTAAAGGACTGCGAATCAGTACTGAAGCGGAGTCTAAATTTCAAATGGCTTTTGAAAGATACTGTTACATAATGAAAACTCAAGATTCTATTTCTTATTAAAATTTGCATTTGTTTCTGGAAGTTTTTAACAGAGGTTTGAAGTGACATCAAGTAGTAAGTTAGGTCCACTGTGATTATCAATGGAATAAGCCAGTGGTTCTAGAGCTTAACCATCATTTTAGATTTAGAAAACAATGAAACACAATTATCCTGCAGCAGCACCTACTAAATAATTCAATAAATATAATTATTTCCTAAATTTCTCCTATACTAGAATTATGAATATGGTGGGCTGGAGCAATAGCACAGCGGGTAGAGCGTTTGCCTTGCAAGTGGCCAACATGGTCAACCCGAGTTTGATTCCTCCGCCCCTCTCGGAGAGACTGGCAAGCTACCTAGAGTATCTCGCCCGCACGGCAAAGCCTGGCAAGCTACCTGTGATGTATTTGATATGCCAAACACAGTAACAATTGTCATAATGGAGATGTTACTGGGTCTGCTAGAGCAAATCGATGAACAACGGGAGGACAGTGACAGTGACAGTGATGAATATGATGTCATTCTTTTGACCAATGTTCCTTTTGAAAGGTTTATTTTATAATTTCAAAAGGTAAAATGACTAACAATATGCCAAATCCAGTATTAAGATGGACGTAATGGCACTAGAACTACAGTGTTTTACATTCTAAGAGAAGAGCAAACTTCTCTATTTTGTCTTAGCTATTCCAACATTGGAAATAAAAAACAAGCTTGCCTTATTTACTTACTATACTAAAAAATTTAAAGAAAGGAAAAAAGTCTACATATTTAAATACTAACTCTATTGAGAACTCTTCTTTATCTTATTATTATATTCTTTGGGTTTAGTATCAATATAGCTAAATGTAGCAACAAAAATAAGGACAGTCAATTCTGCCAGTTTTTTTGTGCTTTAAATCATTCCACATTGATAAGGAACTTTCAACATCAATGTGTTCTTCAAAGGTATTTTAAACTTTGTCTTTTGTAATGTGGTAGAAAAGAATCTAACAATGTAAAATTTCTTAACCCTTATTTTCTCTAGTCAATACCCCAACTAGATGACATTACCTAAAAATACAGAATCAAATAATAATTTTATAGAAAGCTAGTTTTCTTTAAGCAAGGATGCTTTGAGCTTACTGTGGTCTGCTATCATGATTGACAGGGAAATGCATTTTATATTTAAATAGCATTCATTTTATTTTTAGTATCTTAGCTGATTTACTTACTTTCAGAATAAAGATGCAGTAAGATTCTACAGAGCATGTAACTCTGTATTAGAAAAATCTGTACAAATAAAATATTTACCATTTAATGAATATTAAGGGTATACAGCTGCACCTGTGCATCTGCTTGGTAGGAGAATTAATGAGGACTTAAAAATAATAGTAAAGTAGATTTAATTAAATGACTAAATCAATATATGAAATAATAAAAGTAACATACTTAAAAAATGTCAGGGATATTTTCTGTAAGTTATTTACAATCGCCAAAAGGAGAGGTGGAAATAACACATTACTTGGAATGACACTCTGGTCACTACCAGGCAGAAGCTGGGTCACAGGACTAAGACATGACTGGGACAGAAACTATGACATAAGCAAGAAATGGAAGACTAAGTAAGACATGGGTATAATCCTTTCGAATTATCAAAACACAGCAATAAAATGTATACAAAAGGGAATATATGTGTACATTCTCTTTTTTTAATGGAGATTGGCTCCCCCAAAGCATATAGTAACTGAAGATTTTGCTAATCTAGTACCTTTAGGGGCTGGAGCAATAGCACAGCAGGTAGGGCATTTGCCTTGCATGCGGCCAACGGGGGTTTGATTCCTCCGTCCCTCTCAGAGAGCCCAGTAAGCTACCGAGAGTATCTTGCCTGCACGGCAGAGCCTGGCAAGCTCCCTGTGGCATATTCGATATGCCAAAAACAGTAAGAACAAGTCTCACAATAGAGACATTACTGGTGCCTGCTTGAGCAAATCAATGAACAATGGGAGGACAGTGACAGTGCTATAGTACCAGTGCAGTGCTATGAAGATGCTTCTGGGTGTGAGAGGTTGATTCAAACACAGGATCCTCTAAGTCTCTGAGGAAAAATAAACTCTATCTTCTCTCATTTGTGTTATGAGGGATGTCAAATAATACCGGGACACTTCATGGCAACTCGGATTTTAGTGGCGAGAACATGAGGGATTCACCCAGAGGGGGCTATCTCTAAGGAATCAATTTTAATAATCCATATCCATGGAAAATCTAAGTGAGAAATTCATTTTTTATGTCATTATACATTCTACATTTTAAAGTTATATGACATTATTTTTCCCTAACAAAGACCATTGGAATAAAGTCATACTTATAGAAATTAGGTAAATTAGATATATGCTAGAGAGATAAGGGTAGCTAGATCATAATCCCTCCATTGTGGTATATTTACTTGGGCATTGTTTATATTTCCAAAGCACAAGTAGGTCCTTTCGCCCATGTGACTGGATAGAATACGCACTTCTAACAAAATGTAAAACTCAACATTAGTACTTTCATGTAATTTCTCTTAACTATACAGATAATAAACATCATTGAATTTTATTACTGGAGTTTTTATGACCCTAAATTCAATTAAAAGAAATTCATAAAGACAAAGAAACTTCTTTCAACAGAAAGAGTTTGGAGAAATTGACAACTGAAAAGCAATGAGGTGCCTTGGCTTAAGTCCTGAACAGAAAGAAAACCTGGATGGACCTAGTGAAATCCCAGTGAAGTCTGCAATTAAGGTTGCAATACAGTCAGTAAAATAAATAAACCAATTCCTAGGAACATACACGTGTACCTGACAGCAACTTAGTAAGCACGGACTAGAAATGTTCAAGAATAACACTCAGAAAACTGTATTAAAGAATGCATAGATTCGGGTGACAGTGTGAACCTACCCATTTAGTGGATTTCATACTAAATCTGAGGTGTGAAAATTGAAGGCAGAGGTTTGAGCCATATATAACTGGGATGTTTTCATTAAAAGTAAGTCATGAAAATAAAGACAGGAACTCATTACCTATTAGTATCTGGTCTCCAGAAATATGCCTAGAAAGGGAATTTGCCTTATATTTCCATCCAGAGCAGGTAATATTGCCTTTTTTTTCCCAAAAAATATTTATTCTGAAATGACAGAATAGTTCACTTTTGCACTTAGGTTAACTTACCCTCCTTCAAAGATTTTAATTCGAATTGGCTCATTTTGTTTGGATCCAATATCTTTGTCTCCATGAATATCTCCTTTTCCTCTTTCCTTTAAGATATTTCCCACTAGTTTCCTTTCTAGTTTGCTTCCAAACAAAAAGGATGAATCTGGTTTCATCTGCAGGACAAAATTTAATAATCATATCAAATGTTTTCTCCAACACAGACGAGTCCATCACATCCCCCTTTTCCCTAGCCTCAAGCTCTGAATGTAGCTTAATTCCCATATTGAAAGGCTATGGATTGGTCACATAAAATAAAGCACAACGGGGACAAAAATCAGAAAAGAATGAGTTTCTGTATAGTAAAGACTAAATTTTGTTGGAAACAAAAACAGAAGAACTCCAAGAGCACATACACAGTACTACACCAATAAAGCTCTGAAAAGCGTCCTATTCTAAATAAGAAATTAAAGCTATCTCTAGTAATTAGGGAATAGTCTAAAAAAAAAAAAAACAACATCAACAACAGAAGGGAAATGGCATCTAGAACAAGCAAATAGGTTTTTTAAATCTTCCATTTGCCTCTTTGATGATTTAGCATTCATTCCAAAGGATTCTTCATCAATATTGAAAACATTTTACATGTAAAGTATTCATGGTTCATGAAGAATGAAACAGTTCATCACTTGGAAAGAGTTTTGAGAGAGCTACAAAAGACAATACAATTTAGAAAATAGTATTGTCAATGGGAAAGAGTCCTCAGAAGATTGCCAAGGTCAGCTGACAACTTGTATATCATACCTATCTCTCTTTCAGCATCCACTCCGTATTCTATATCCCCAATCCACAATTTCCCTAATTCTCCACACTAAAATTGAAGTCAATTATCTAGGTCATTAACACAACCTGGGAGCTGACTCCCAAGGAAGGAACTCCTGCAGTAGAATTTCACACCTGGATGGAGCTAGTTTTTATTCAGGATTGTTTAAGAAGGTCTTTGGTTATCTCTTACCCAAAATTAGAATCAGTGGTGACAATGGCTGCCCAACCACGAGGCATCATTTTACTTGTACTTTTCAGACTGTCTGAACCATGCATTCTGCTCACCATCAAATTCACAACAAAGAACCCTTTGGGGAGCAACATACATTACCTGAGCAAACTGCTTCCAAGCACTTGATGATGTAAGTTTGCCGGTTCCGGGCCTGTGCATAGCAGCCAGAGTGTAAATTTCTGCGGTGATTTTTTGCTTGGACCTCAGAAGAGCCAGTGTGGTCTTGGTGTTCAATCCTGATGGATTTGGGTTGCAGGAACTAATGCACCATGAAGCATAAACTGAGGATTTGAAGGTGGCCTGTTGCACAGAACTGGGTTTTGTATAATTCAAAAAGCACCAACTCACAGTAGTAGTTGTCCGCAGACTGGGGAACTGCAGAATCTGCTGGAAATCTGCCACGTCAGTGAGAAGAAGAGTAGAATTTGCCGCCTTCCCGCTGGGCCCTGAGGCCATGTGCACCAGCATGCCGAAAGGCAGCCTGTGGCCCTTCCTGTGCTCTTCCAGCTGACCATCTCCCTGTGCCAAGGAGCTCTGCGGGCTCATACTCATGTCAGACGCCGTCTCATCGATATCTAATTCATCGGAGGACTCTCTGCTTTCCGAAGGTCCGCTGGACTTCTGCCCGAGCAGAGGTGCCCTGGAGCCCGGGGGAAACGGCTCCCTCAGGGGTGTATTGCCTGAGGGGTGATCTTGAGATGAGGAGGGGGACAGCGAGGAGAAGGAAGATGATGCCGACTGTGAGCCATCTTTGGGCTCGGAAGCACAGCCTTGCCGGACCAGCTGGGGTTTCTGTGGGCGGGAGAGATCCTTCTTGATGTCCGAGTTGGTGAGCTCCACAGCGCTGAGCTCCTCCACGATCTGCCCGTACATCTTTTCTTCTTTCACCCTTTTCTGCTGCTTGGACTCAATGAAGAGCTCCAGGCTGCTGGCAGGAGACAGCATGCGTTTGCTGCCTCCCAGAGTGGCCACACTGTCCGAGGTGGATGGTAAGCAGAGGGGGATGGAGGATTCTAAGCCCAGGGGTAAGGTCTGGGGGACTTTCCAGATGGGGTATTTTTCCAAGCTTGCATGCTGTCCCAGGACCTGGGCGATGTTAAATCCCATTCCTTGCATGGCGGCATTGGTCACCAGCGTTCTCTGGGTCACATTCTCGTCGACTTTACAGATGACGATGGCCGGGCTGTTCTGCCCCAGGATCTGAGAGATGCTCGTGTACATGACGCTTCCATAGGACGGCACGTGGGTCTGGATCCTCACCGGAACCACGGTTCCCGGCAAGGACTGGAGCGGGCCGGCGCTGGCAGAGCCGAAATCATCTTGGAGCATCTGCTCGGAGGGAATATCTGCTGACTTGGTGCTCTGGTCTGATGGGAACTTGGGAAGAAGGTTCTTTGCGTGGAGCCCTGATGCTCCTGCATAGCACGGGTGGGCTGGCTCTTTCAGATGGGCATACTCAGAAGATTTCTTTCCAGTGTGTTCTGCCACGTGCTCTAAGGGATAGGCAGGAGGCATGTCGGCCTGGAAAGGTTTGCCGTAGTGTGGGAAATGCGCCTGCCACCAGGGAGGCTGCGGAGCTGGTAAGTGAACCATGCAGACAGTCGGGTACTGAAACTGAAACAAGGCATTCTGGATGGGAGAGAAGGGAAGCGACTCTTGATGTGCAAATAAGGGTGGCTGTTCGGACAGGTGCTTGCCGGGAATGTAGGAGCCCGGTGGCATCAGCGGATTCCGCAGCGGTTCCTGACTGTCCAGGTGCATGATCTGCGGCTGAGCCAGGTGCATTGGGCCTGAGCTCAGCGGGGCGCAGGGCCCCACCACCTGCTTTCCCGGCTCCTCAGTGGCCTGCAGCGGCGGGAGCAGGGGGCAGGCAGCCGGGTGCCACGAGGACCTGAGGTGCTCCAGCTGCTCCTGTTTGACGCTCAGGTCCGGCCCGGTCTCCCCCTGGGCGGTCTCCGGGGAGCCGCTGAAGGACGCTTGCCGCACCAGGAAGCACTTCTTCCTCTCCCGAGAGGGGGACAAGGTGGAGGCCGAGCCTCCGGCCCCGGGGGCGTGGGACAGATTGCCGTAATCGAACGATTTACTTCGGATTTCCGGGACTTCGGGGGGATGAGGACAAGGCATCTGCTCAGAGGAGCAGCGTCGCATCTCCTTCTGGTGGTGGTGGCCGGGCACCGACAGGGAGTAGGAGCCGGCAGGGACCGTCAGGAACTCCGAGTGCTTCCCCAGCTCCTCCTGCCGGTTGGGGGGCGCGGGCAGCTTCAGGGGGTCATCTCTCTCGAACGACATGGAGAAGCTGGAGCTATGCGACAGGTTGCTCTCCTGGCTGGGGCTGCGCGAGAGGCCAGTGCCGGCCGACTCGAAGCTGGACTCCCCGGACGAGTGCTCCATGTCAGCCAGGCGGAGCCGCTTCTTCTTGGGAGGGAGCTTCTCGGCGGGCAGCTGAGACAGAGTCTCGCTGCGCTGCGGCCACTGGAACTCCTCAGCGGGCTTGTCGGGCTCCTTGCTGGGCGCTTCTTTCTCCTTGTCCGGCTTGTCGGGCTCCTCGGTCACTCGGATCTCGGGCACCTGGATGTTGTGCTGGCGGACCAGCCGGGGCTGCGCGTGGTAGGGGGGCTGCGGGCCTGGCTGCGAGGGTGAAGGTCGACCCCCGCCACTGCCGCAGCCACCGTCTGCACTCTCTGGGCTCACGGGGGCTTCGGAGACAGCGTCGCTGTCACAGGTCTCGGATGGGGAGGATGCTTTGTCCAGGGCGCTGCCTGCCAGCTCGGCCGACTCGGACCTCTCGAAGGAGTTGGGGCGACTCAGCGAGTTGGTGTGCTGGATCACGGAGATCACGTTCCCGGGGGGCTTCCTGGACCCCACCTCTGACATCCTGTCGGCGTCGGCGGCCGAGGGGGACTCGTCTGAGCCCAGCGATGGGCTGCCCGACTGCAGTGGCGGTGGCCGAGCGGGGTCGAAGCGCTCGCCGCCGTGCCCGCCCGCGGGGAAGCCACTCCGGGCCGCATCCTGCTGCTGCAGCTGCATCTTGGGGTCGTACTCGGGGGCGCCCGCCAGGCCCAGGGGCGCCCCACCCGAGCCGCCGCAGATCATCGGGGTGTCCTCCTCGTCGCCCACGCTCTTCTCCTTCCGGCGCTTGCGGGTCTCGCAGGGGGTGCCGAACAGGGTGGGCACGGCGGGCAGCGGCACGGCGGGGTCCATGAAGTAGTCTCCACCGTGCTTCAGAGAGCCCAGGCAGGAAAGGTCCCTGTAGGCCGGAGGCTTCGGGGCGTCCGAGTCGTCCCACTTCTTATAGGGCTTCCGGCAGACGTCATAGTCATAGCCGAGCCTGTTGTCTGACATCAGTTTCTTCTCCTTGAGCGACGACGAAGCCGCCAGGGCCTTGGGCACCCGGCCGTGGTGGTGCTCGGCCTCCGGGTGCCCCTCCTGCACCGAGGGCAGCTCGAAGGCCGCCTGGCGCCTCAGCATGCGCTGAGGGGGGATGCCCACCGTGCCGGGGTAGAACACGTCGTCCGAGCCGGTCATCCTCTCGTCGAACGAGTGGCTTCCTCGCAGAGACGGGGGCACGCTGAGATTGGTGGCGGAGGAGGTGGGCATGGAGTTGCTTCTGATCAGGGGGGAGGCGTCGACCGGTGCTTCGAGGAGAGCCAGGTTCCCGCCGCTGCCTTGGAAGTTGGCCGGGTAGAGTTTCCCTTCGTTCCTGACAGAAGGCGCGAGCGGCGGCGGCAGCGGCGGCTGCTGCTGTGGCGACGGTCTCGGCTCGCTGTTGAACTTGGTGGCCTTCAGCATGCCCGTGGGACCCGGCTCCAGGTCGCCCTGGCCCGGGAGGAGCTGGGAAACGGGGTCCTCAAACATCTGGACGTCCAACCTGGTGTTGACGTGAGGTAACAGCGCTTCCACGCGGCCCTTCCTGCCCGCGGGGGCGCGCTCCTGACTGGCTGAGGTGACGCTGAGGGTGTTGCGCGGGCTGAGGCGGCAGTACTTGCCGAAGATGATCTCCTCGTAAGACTTGGCGTTGGTGTTGGGGGGGCTGATCTGCTGCTCGGCGCTCTCGGAGCGGGAGAAGTAGCCCGAGTCGGTGCTCCCTTTGCTGTGCGGGCTCAGGAGGTTGAGCGACGGCTCGGAGTCTTGGCCCTTCTTCTCCGACAGCCGCAGCGCCAGCTTCTGCTTCACGGTGTGCGAGTCGTCGGCCTTGGCGCTGAGCGACGGGGCGGGAAGCAGATCGGGGCCGACGTAAGAACTGTCGTGGGGTAACGGAAGCCCGCTCTTGGGGATGATGAGAATGGGCACCTTCATGGGGCCGCCCAGCGAGTCCTCCAGCGACCCGTGGTAGCCAGCCCGGCCGCTGATGTCCAGCGGGAGCGGGGGCCCGGGGCTCATCTTGTCCGCAGCTTCCACAAACAAAGAACCCTCCTCGTCAGTGTCTGTGCTCTGCTCGCCGTCGGAGTGGATTTCCGCCTCGACGTCGATGAAGCCGGCCTCCAGGTCCAATTTCGAGACGGCCGACTCGGTGAACGGGACCAAGCCTGCCTTGATGGCATGCGCGTGCGACTTCCTGTGCTTGTACAGATTGCTCTTCGTCTTGAAGGAGAAGCCGCAGGGGATGCACGGGTAGGGCCGCTCCCCGGTGTGGGACCGGATGTGTTTTTTCAGTACGCTGGGTTTGGCACACGCCCTGCTGCAGTAAGGGCAAATGTACTTGCCGAGTTTTTTGGGTTTGTGCTCTTTCTTGTGAGCATCTTCAGACTGGTCGAAACTCTTCTGGGAGTATTGGCTATAAGCGGGGTTCAGACCGGAGATCTTTTTTCTGGGGTACCCTCCGCTGTGGCCGGGGATGGGAAACGAAAATAAGTCCTCGGAGGCGACGGAGGGCAACGGGCCGGGGAAAAGCCAAGGAGGGCCCTCGAGGCTGTGATGCGGCTTGCTGCTGTGCATGACCCCCTGTGGCAATGAGTGCTGAGGGAAAGAGAGCGAATGTTGGCATGAGTAAGGAGTCGGTCGGTGTGGTGCGTATTGCTTCTCGGCGACTTGCTGTGCCACTTCGCCGGGCGAGGCCAGTTTGCTAGAACCAAAGAGTTGTGCTGATGCTGTGTTTCCAATTTGCTCAGGATCTATTTGGGGCTGCCGCTGTCCTTCCTGACTGCCGAAAGTGCTCATCTTAATAATAGCTGATTGTTCCTGTCTCCATCTACCTGATGCGTTCTCAGTTTCTCCAGACCTTGAGGTAGCTTTTTGTCCGAGAGTTGTGTCCCCAGTGTCCATTTTGTTGTACAAGGTCTTAAGTGCTAGTGGCTGCAAAGCCGTGCAGACTCATGGAGTGTCCTCGAAGCTGTGCTTTTCAAAACTTGCTTGCTTCCATGTTCCAGGGCGTCTGCAAACGTGCCGGTGCTCCTTTTCTTGGAAACTTGCCACGCCCAACAGTAGTCTATGGGCATCTGATGGTTTTGGTTTTGACCAGGGCTATAACACAGTTCTCTCCATTGTAGAAAGGCCCAACGCAAAAGCTAAGTGCAAATCTATCAAGGTTTCTAATGGCATTTGAATATTTTCAACTAGGATGAAATCGGGATGACAAATAGTCCTGGAGAAATTTTGCCCATCAACTAGAGCAAAGTTTAATTGCGAGTTTCACTAGGATAAAATGATCTGGAAGAAAAGGAAACACAAAAACTTAGTCCTATAGTGTTCTTTCCCACATGGGGAGTTCCTTTTCCCTTCTCTTTTACTTTCCAATAAAAAAGAAAAAGATAAGAAAACACTCAATTCTATGTAACAAGACTGAAATTGAAAAAAGTTGAAGATGACCTTTACACCAAGAAATTCCTTTTAGAATTGTTAATTTCACGATTAAAGATATTATTTTAAATTTAATACCAAGTCATAAGCATAAATTTCTTTGATCTTGGTCCCCAACATCCTTTAAAATCTTAATTTTTGTCAAAATCATATTCAAAGAAAAACTTTTGATAGATACTATTTATAAATTCATTAATATTTTTAAAGCCTTCATTGAAGATTGAAGTCATTTTTTTTGTTGTTTTTTTTGGGGGGGAGGGGTCACACCTGGCGATGCATAGGGGTTACTGGTGGCTCATGCACTCAGGAATTACTCCCGGCAGTGCTTGGGGGACCATATGGGATGCTGGAAATCAAACCTGGCTGGCCACATGCAAGGCAAACGCCCTACCTGCTGTGCTATCACTCCAGCCCCATTAAAGTCATTTCTAAACAAGATTTTTCTAAGCTAAATTATATTACTTATTTCTATGTGCTTATTTTGATGGCTTTATATGAAAAAATATATATACTGTATAGATTTATATAAATTATTAACCAATCCAATATTGATATAAAATGTTACATCCATTAGTGTATTAATATGAAATACACATATTTTACTTAAATTTGGGAAGAAAAATGTTTTATTTAAAGTAGAAAAAAAAATCTTCACAATATGAAGAACATAATATGCTTTGGAAAAAATGGAAAAATATCATTATGAGGATCAGGGATATAGCTAAGTGGTCAGGGAGCACATGCCTTGCATGCACAGGAACCCAAGATAGATCTCCAGCATCAGATGCTCCCTCAGCCCCCCACCCACCAGTCAGGGTTGTCTTAGTGACCTCAGTGCCACTCTCCTGGGCAGTGCCACATCACTGGGCCCATGCACTGACCCATCAGGCCCAGTTAGCCAATTATCCAGAGGGATGGTCCCTAGGCCCTAAGCATTACTTGAGAATCACCCCCCATATATATATATATATATATATAGAGAGAGAGAGAGAGAGAGACAGAAAGTGAGAGAGGGAGAGAGAGAGAGAGCAGAGAGAGCCCTTCTTATTACCTGGATGGTGTAGAATTCTCATGGACATGATTGTCTTGACGCTTCCTAGATAGAAGATAAATACAGTTAGGGAAAGTTCTTCCATTAAACTACAACATTACTAAATACAAATATAAATTTAGAGTTGATTGTACAGAGAACTCAATGTTACAGGTCATCTAAAGAGAAAAAAAAGGGGAAATAAGGCACTGTGCTTAAGTAGTAACTCATGAGAAAATATCGCAAAAATGTCAGGGAAATATTTTCTAAGATATTTTTTTTTAATCAAGGAATCTTAAATTTTTGCTTTTGTGCCATACCAGCTGTGCTCTGTGCTTACTCCTGGTTCTGTGCTCAGTGAATCACTCCTGGTGGGCTGAGGGGAGCATATTTAATGTTGGGGATCCAACCCCAGGGCTGGCTACAGTGAAGGCAAGTGCCCTCCTGCTGTACTCCAGCATCTTAAATTTGACACAATAAACTTGGTTTCTAATTCCTCGGATAATAAGAGTTTGAGAATAGGTGGGTGTGTTTTGGGGCATATGGAGTCTGCCAGGCAGTGCTTAGGGAAACCTGGAGTAATAGTCTGGGTAATAATCAGGGCCTTCAGGTCAGTCATGTTTCCAGCCCTTTGATCTGTGTTGCTCAGGGGGTTACTCCTGACACAGTGCTTGGGTGTGTATGGGGTGGGGGTGGGGGGATTACTACCATTGATATTCCATGGTGGTTCACAGTGATACAGGGCATGGAGTCTGGGCCTCCACCAAGTGTTATCTTCCACATGCCCCATTTTTTAAAATCTTTTAAAATTGGACATTTAGGTTTGAATACTTGGAAGAATACATTTATCCTTTTGAGAAAGTTTACAACATTTCCTTCAGTTGTGTAGCAGTGGCTTTTGAAAACTTGACTACTTAGAAATGATTCAATTTTAAGGGAAAACTTAAGTCCCATAAAGAATAGTCCTAGTGAAGGGGAAAAGGGAGCTCAGATAGAGAAGGGAGCACCTTAATAAAGGGTGTTGGGAGGATCCTCCCAGGATGGGAGAAGCATGCTGAAAGTAGACTATAGACCAAACATGTTTGCCACCCATTACCTCTTTTGCAAACCACAACACCCAATAGGAGAGAGACAACAAAAGGGAATGCCCTGCCACAGAGGCAGGGTGGGATGGGGCGGGGAGGGGGGGATACTGGGATCCGTGGTGGTGGGAAATGGGCACTGGTGGAGTGATGGGTATTTGATCATTGTATAATTGAAACCCAAGCACAAAAATTTGTAAGTCTACAACTGTACCTCATGGTGTCTCACTAATAAAAATTAAAAAAAAAAAGAATGGAAAAAAGAAAAAAAAAAGAATAGTCCTAGTGAAAACTTAAGTCCCATAAGAGAACAGTCAATGTTGAATCTGGAGAATTCTGAAAACTTCAATGCTCAGGTCTGCTAATGATTATGCAAGATGAGATCTTTCTTTACTAAGCAAAGTAACAATACTTATCCAACTAAGAAAGTCAGACCATCTGCCATAGAAATTACATTGCTGAACATGCATCCTAATAGATCTACCTGCAAAGTACTCAAAGATGGGCACATAAAAATTGTTCAAATAAAATATGGCTCATCGTAAAATGTGGCCATTAGGAAAAAAGGAAGTATAACTATAAGCACTATTATAGAGCCTCATCCAGAAGTAAGTAGCATTAGATATGGTGGGCTGTGGGAGAACTGAACCCTAGGATGTAGTTTATAATGCTATTTCTGTAAAAGAGAAGCAAGTAATAAAAAAACACGTTTCAGCAAGGATGCCATGTCGCTTTTAACAGACGTTAAATCATAGAAGTGAAACTAGGGAGACAGAGAGGGCACATGGCATGAGACTTTTAACATTTCACCTTTGGTTTTTTTTTGTCTTATCATGAGCACATTCTATTTTTTAAATATAATCTTGGTTAATAAAAAATGATGTTATGTAAATGCACTGCAGTTTCCTAACAAAAACTCTCAAGTACTGCTTTTAGTTCTATATCTATTAGCTCCCTACTAGAGAAAGTTACAATTATAGAAATTTCCTTTTGCAAGCAGTCATTAAGAGAAGTGGAGTGTCAGAATCCAATCGAGGTCTGGATGACTCTTAAGCCTCAGAGATTTCACCTTCCCAACCCCTAAGAGCCCCCGGCCCCAGTTCCACTACTTAAAATGTCTTCAAAACACAGTTCCACATCACTTCAATATTTCAAGTACCCAAATAGTACGTGACTCTGAGAGAATGTATGAGTTTTAAATAATTGTATAGAAAAAATGAAAAATGGCCCCAAATAGCAATTCCAAGAAACCAACCACATCCATAATTTAAATAATGTTCAAAGTCTATTTATCAAAGCACTAATATGAACATTCCTCATAAGGATATGTTCTATTCTCATGACAAACATTTGTTTTACTTTATTACTTAAAAAGCATTCTTTTTAAGAAAAGAATTTGACAAGTGAAAATTAGGCCTGTGATTATCTTCCATTCATTAGTTTACAAAGAACAGATAGATGTTCTTAAAACACAGATTTCAAATCAAACAAGCACATAGGATTTTATGACAAACAGGTCTGGAGTAAACAGGTCTTTAGATTTAGTAAAGTATTGTTCTTGCATATAACAATGGGGTAAGATCTTTGTAAATCAAGTGCAATTTTTAGGATTTCCAATTCAAACTATTATATTTTAAATGACAAATACATTGCCTAATTATGAAGGACAATTTATATCATGTATAAGAGATTCACCAAGCAAAAAGTTAAAGAACACTTGGAGCTGGAAAGTTGAGAAGATGTTCTCTCTGCAATTTTTGGGTTTGATCTCCAGCATTTCATTGTTTTCTGAGCACCACTGAGAATGACCTCCAACCCTCACTAGATATCCCTCAAAACAGCAATAAAAAATTCAAATAAAGGTAACAAAATTTTGTTATTAAACAAGAGACCAGAAAATGAAGGCATCTTTACATAGAATTTACATAGAATTCAAAAGAGGTCACTTCCTGGTTGAAGCAAAAATTGTGTAAAATGTTCAGTTAATTATTGTTGGGCTTATAAAAATTGTTGGGCTAGTAAAAATAAAAAAAGAAATTCGTATTAGAATCAATTATTCTAATAATACTATTGTATTATCCCATATTCCAATGGCATTTATTGTCCAGAAAATAATTAAAATCAAATACACTGGACCAATGAGATAGCTCAATGGGCTAAAACATATGGTATGTATGTGGGAGCCCTTATTTTAATTCCTGGCATCACACAGTTCCATGAGCACTGTGTCTCAAGTATCTCCTTAACATCATGGGGTATGGCCACAAACCAAAACTAAACCAAACCAAAAAAAAAAATATGATAAATTCCAACACATTGACTTAACCAAGAAAATAGTTTTGGTCAGGAAATCTCTTCCTTTTCAATTTCTCTGACAAGTTTATGTAAGCTGTCCTGCCATTTTATCACTGTACAGGGTACCCTCTCCCTTGTCCCATACTTTTGTTCAGAAGAGCTTCCAACCTTATTTCTTAGATGAGATCTCAGTAGTTTCAGGGATACCTCTGGTTTACATTTCTCTAACAGCAATGTCTAACTTTTCACTTCAGTGAAAAACCTAAAAGATAATATTAAGGAACTGGAAATCATTCCTGTTCTACATGAATCATTTAGATTTGAAACTGACTAGGGGATATAATATTCTTCCTAACGCCATCCTTGAGGAATTTTTGACTAAGAGTTCTAAAGGCAGTAACTTTCCTTCTTAAGAGTTTCTGTAGGCATGGAAAAAGGCAAATAAAAGATACAATAAGTAAAGGATCTTTGAGGAGAGTGTTTGCTAATACTATTAAAATGTGAACTCCTTTCATTCATCTGTTGTCTAATGTTATTTTATTTTGGAAACTCAAATAATTTAAAAATATAAATTGTTCACAGCATATACTGGGCATGGTGTGTCTGACTCTCAAAGTAAAGAGGATTTAGCAGGACTTTGGAGTGCTCAAATGTTTTTTTTGCTGCTCTCTTTAATTTACACTTAGGAAGAAAAGTTCCCTTTAAAAACAACAAGGCTTTCAAAGTGTTAAGGTCCGACAAACACTTTTCATCTTTTGTTGACAAACCTCCATCAACAATGGCATAAATCTGAGAACTTGATCTTGTGCTTTATTAATTTTACATGTTTCTATAGAACTTCTATGTAGAAAGTGTTCCTATGTATTTACTTTGGGTCTCACAAAATACATAATATCAATGTATTTTCCCATATATACACATATACTATTGTATATGCCTATAAATAAACATTATATATACATATACATATATATACTCACACCATTAAATGCACAATTACATATATATGTGATCTTATTTTGATTTTCTCAATATCCATCTCCTTGGAGTTACCAAGATCTATAGCAGTGTGTTTGGTTATAGCTACACTATTTCTCTTATGTCATGTAGGATCATTTCATTTTTCATACCCTCTAATCATATATAAAAATAAAATCTTCAATATTCTCAATTCTCCTATAAAAAGCCAGAAATCATTTTATTCCCCGAGATTTCTTTTTATGGTAACCAAAACCCGGCAAACTCATTTTTGGCAGCCATTGCCAACAAAGGAGAAGTATTTCAAACACAGTTTCACATTCACGTCGAAAATTTTCCCTTATGCCTTTGAATGCTACAAAAGGAGAGTGGTATTTTGCCAAAGGATATGACTTTTTAGGGTTTCCTCTGGAGGGTGCTCCAGTCCATAGGAATCTTTCAATTAGTGAAGACAGGCATTGTCTTACAAGCTCAGCACATTTTTCAGAGGGTAGTGTTGACAAAGACATCACCCTCGACAAGGCTATGTCAAGGCTAATAAAACTTCTCTTTTAAAAAATGGAGCAAAAGAAAAGAAAATGATATTCCATGAAAGGCTTGTCATTTAAAACAAACAAACAAAAAACCCAAACAAACCAAAAACGTGTTCACTCTATTGGCTTCTTTACAAAGCTCCACTCAAATAAGTTTGGCACCCAGTGAAATAATTTCACCAGACAGGCCCTGAAAGGCAAGGCCCCAAAACAGCCTCCCCTATAGCCCTCCACAGAGGTCTCTTCAGGATAACAGCTGGGTAGCACTGGAAGGGAGCAGGCCTGCTCTGCTGATGAATAAAGGCCTACAGTATCCAGGGTTGTCAATCGGGGCTCTTTTGCTTGGAAAAACACGATCTTAAGAGAGGAAAAACTTTACCTCAGGAAATTAATTATTACTCGAGTGGTGGTAAGAGTCAAGTGAGCATTAAATAATAATGTCCTAAATAACAATGGTATAAAAATGACTGGCAACAAACACTACTTCTCTGCTGCCAATATCTTACTAGGAAAACATTTTTTAAATTGGCCATTTGGCCTTTGTTTTTTCTTTTTTTTTAATGTGGCAGTATTATACTTGTGAACCAAAGATCTATCATATGATAATAATAATTACTGAGCAAAACTTGAGAGCAGTACATCTGCATTTAAATGTCATAGATCAAGTATACATTTTTTTTAAAAAAAAAAAAAGCATGGTAGAATAGTACAGCTTTAGCACTGACAGTCTCAGATATCACAAGTACACAGGAAATAGGAGGAGGAAGAAAAGGATCTGCCGACAAAACCCAGTCAGTTGCAGAGTCCAACTGAACACAGACTTATTTCCACAAGATGATTTAAAAAAAGGCACCTTTCTATGAGCCAAAGTCATTATAAATGCTTCCTTTATTAGTAAATGTTCCCATAACAACTTGATTTGTCTCTCAAAGGAGAGAGTCTCCCATTCAAGATAGATGCTGCATATTCTAGAAAACCCTGCCAAATGATTTACAGAACTTTCGGAGAAGAATAAAATGATTGGGATGATCATGCTAATTTGACATACATGAAAACCTAATCTCATTTGAAATTCAAAACAGAATGGAAAACTTGACTTTTTTTTCTATGTGGGTTACTTTAAGGGCTCGATTGCAGATATTTACATAGCTTCACATTTACTTAAGATATTTATGATTTACTTTGACTAAAGCCTGCTTCTTTCAATATTTTCATACTGCTTTTTTATGACAATATTGTCATACTGCTTTTTATGACAATGGTGGTCAGGTTTCTCTGGTGGAAGGTTTTCCCACTTTATTTGCCAAAGTTATCCAGATATATTAAGTAGAACTTAAAGGAAAATCAACTTTGCCAAAATGACAATCTCTCTAATGAGGTTATCTCTAGTTAAGGAATTGCAATTAAAATTGGTCTACTATGAAAGGGAAAATAAAACCAAACCTTGAGTACATATTTCTAAATCACATATACACTATATGTGTTCATTACCACACAAGCCCCTGACTCCCCCCAAATCAGATAGTTTATGTTTAAGTATAGTAGGCCCAAAACAAAATTTTAAATTAAATGCAAAAACAATTGCATAAAATAGTAATTTCTGGTTATTAACCTGTTATCCTCATATCAAAAATCTGCATCACAATGGTCTTTGCTTTCCACGAGGTCAACTTTCTCCACAGGAACTCGTACATACATAACTTCCGGGGATCTGAAAGATGAAGAAGATGAAATTTAAGATAGTGACATACGTAGTTGATATATAAGCATGCACATGAGTTCCTCAGTTACAGAAATCCTTCCTTGAAGAAAGCAGAGCTGGAACTAGATATATCAAGACTTCTCTTTCCATCCCACCAAATTTCCTATTTTTGACATCGTTTAAATATTTTGCACAAGTACTGGTATAAAAGTTTTGCCTGTACAGCAAAAGTGAAGGCAATTAGGAAAATGATGCTAGAGTTAAACTTAACCTACTGGAATGAGAAATCAGGCCACTGCAATCCAGGATACAGTTCTGTATAACGCTGTTTCCCCAAAATACCCTTTCACACATGAGTCGTTCCACAGGATGATGTCTCAGATAACCTCATAACAAATTCTTTTCTATAGTTTATTTCAGCATAGTTATGTTCTGTGCTAAAATTAATTTCTGACATAGAAAGCCAAAACTAACCCAAGTAAAATCCTGAGACATAGCAAACTCCGGGGAGTAATGAAGAAAGGAATTTTCTCATACTTAAAATTAATGCTTAAATCTTATCCAAAGAAATGCATTCCGGTCAGATTTCCTCAATCAGTCAACCATCTTCAGATGGTTTCTTTTCTGTATACAAAAGCATATGACACTCCCCACAGATGATTCTCCTATTTTTGTTAATTAAAAATAAAAATTTATAAGTCTATAAGTGTACTTCATGGTGTTTCACTAATAAAAAAAATGATAAAAAATAAATAAATAAAACATTGGGGCTGGAGCAATAGCATAGTGGGTAGGGCATTTGCCTTGCATGCAGCCAATCCAGATTTGGTTCCTAGCATCCCATATGGTCCCCTGAGCACCGCCAGGGGTAATTCCTGAGTGCAGAGTCAGGAGTAACCCCTGTGCATCACCGGGTGTGACCCAAAAAGGAAAAAAAAATGTTCTTTCTTTCGAAAATGAACTGTCTCATACGAAGGAAGTATGGTACCAAGACATGACAGATAAAATGTGCCTTTGCAGTGCTATGACATGAGACCATTCCAAGTGCTTAAAGGAAGCAACTCGTGTCCTCCCTCTTTTGCACATCACTGTAACAACACTTCGGGACACCCTGTGCACTTTGAGACATGAATCATTACAAGCAAGTAGGCCCACTCGGCTCCTCAAAAGACACAAAAGGTGCAAAAATAGCTTCTGCAATTGAAGCAAGAACTACGTCAGCAGCCAGATGAATGTGGGTGGTCAGATAAGACTGTTGCTGCAAAGGGCAAATTATTAAGCAAATGGTAGATTTATTTTCTTTTCTAAACTTTGTTCCTCCTGCCTCAAATCAACCATTTCCTCGTGCTAAAATGACAACGGACAAGCTCTACTATTCTTGATATTGAAAAATTCATCAGAGACCAGAGTCTGATTGGTTAACAATCAAAGTGTTATTGGGAGTATCTGTTTTGTAAGAGAACTTATTTTTTTAATTTATTTTAAAATTTTCACTACAGTACTGTTAACGATAGGCTGTCAGGCATATAATGCTCTCACACCACATCCTCCACCAGACTGTCCACTTCTCTGGATATTATCTTGGGGTCCCCCCAAATGCCCGCCCTTCAATCCCCCCCATCTCCCTGTCCTGGTAAGTTCTGTCAAATAGTTTTAAGATTCTGTTGCTTTGGATCACTTGTTATTACCTTCTTTATACCCACATACAACAATTATTTCTTTTTAACAAATGAAACCAATTTAAAAATAAAACTCACGGTAGTTTTTTTTTTTAAAAAAAAAACTGTATTTGGCACTATAAGCTAAAGTATGACAGCACAGTGGTAGGGCATTTGCCTTGAAAGCTGCTAGCCTGACCGAGCCGGGTCGATTCCTCTGCCCCTCTCAGAGAGCCCGGCAAGCTACCGAGAGTATCTCGCCCACAGGCAGAGCCTGGCAAGCTACCCGTGACGTATTGGATATGCCAAACACAGTAACAAGTCTCACAATAGAGACATTACTGGGCCCACTAGAGCAAAACAATGAACAACCGGAAGACAGTGCTACAAAGTGGGAGGACAGTGCTACAAAGTATGACATTCCTTTTTTTTTTCCTTGACCTTTGAGCCACACCCTACAATGCTCAGGGTTACTCCTCAGGAATTACTTCTGGTAGAGCTCAAAGGACCAAATGGGATGCTGGAAATTGAACCCAGGTTGACCCCTACATGACAAATACCCTACCGATGGGACAATTGTCCCGGCTCCTGAAGTATGATATTCTTTTAGAAGGAAAAAAAATAAATCGTGAAACTATATTGTACAACACGTCAAATCTACCTACAACATAAATGGGTCAAGATTCTATGGATATGGCAATTTATAGGGAACAATAACTTGCTGTATTCAGTGATTGCCTGTGATTGTCAATCCATAGTCACATTAAACAAAAAGGGAAGAGAGAAATAGAGAGCAATCATCAAAAAATCCTGAGAACTACTTTTTCAAGCTGAGCTGAAATTAAAGACAAGGACCCAATGAATCCCAAATTCGAAGCCAGTACTACTAATGACAGCTTCAACTGGCAGAGTCCAAGGGCCTCAGACAAAGGATGACTGGTACTATGTTCCCAGCTCTAATTTGGCTTTTCTAGTCTTATATATGAACCATCTATGGCTAGTGGAAATGAAAGGAAACACTTGCACCATGACATGCACATAGATTTGGAATTTTAGATGAGAAAGATGCCTCTTTCATGAGAATTCAAATATTGTTTCAATTGCATAACTGATTTCATGATTTTATTTAATGTTCACTTTACCCTTAAAGAACAAGAAAACTATGATAATAGGGTTATTATTAGTTTACTTCATAGAAAAGTAAAGTAAAAAGGCCCTCCGTTGATCACGATTTGCTCGAGCGGGCCCAGTAACGTCTCCATTGGAGACTTTGTTGTTACTGTGTCTGGCATATCGAAACCACCTAGAAATTAGTGAAATTTTAAAGCAAAATTTTGATCAATATTAACACACCTAAAAGGATGCTAATGTAATTTTTTTGCACAATTGATTTTGTTGCAAGTTGGAATGAGTAGTTAATTTTGCTAGAGCAATAAAGACAGATAACCATCTCAGAAAAATATTTTTGTTAAGTGAGTTTTTGTATTTTTGTTTCATTAAAATAAAAATCTTTCTTCAAACAGCTTGAAAATGTATGATAAAGACACTGCATGCTATATATTTCCTAAATAAGTCAACTGTTCCCACAGTTTACTGCTGAAAATAATGGAACAAAAGAAAGAGAATAGATTTTTCTCTTCACTTTATATTTTTGTTGTTGGATTCGAAGGAAATGCCATGCAATGAAACTTTAATATTCAATAGAAATAACAAGTTTTCAGAAAATAGTGCTAACGGAGCTTGTTACATATCTCCAGGCCATTTTAAATTAATTTCTAAATATGAGGTGAAAATTATCTTCCACCTTACTAGCAAAGTACAGAGTGTTTTTTTCTATCTGCTTGCATGTTTGTGGGAGAGAACTTTGAAAGTTTTTTCAATCCTCTTGTTAATAGCCAAAACTTGAAAAGTTGAGTTTAATTGTTCCTATCTCAATGGTTTCTTATTTTTCTTTCTACTCAGAAAAAAACCCTTGTTGTTACTTAGTTATTCCTGGGTGCTTATGGGTTAGTATTATGGAATTAAACAAGGGTCATGTTGAAATATGATAATAGATAGATTTTTTAAAAATGCTGGTTAGATCCTTATTTCAATGCTCTCTTCTTTCAAAATATTTAAACAAGTCACAGTTTAGTAGCTAATATGCTGCTTTGATGAATATTATAAGAGGTTAATGATTTACTGGTAAACTTCTTTTGCATAAAGAAGTAGTACCTCCTGTTACTTCTGCGTTTATACAAACAAATATTAGATCATTTTAAAAGAAAAGCTGAAAAAGCTAGACCAGTTATACATTAGAGTTGTCACAACCGTAAAGATTATATTCATGAGCTCTGTGAAAACAGAACAAATAATATCTAGCAAATAAATGGTACTTCTATTTTATGGTTAAAGAAAATAGTTATTTTACATTAGGGAGTAGAAAATATTCAAATGTAGTAGATAGTGATGTGGTAAGAGGACTGAATGAGAAAACATGTTCCAAGATATGCTTCATCAATTCATCACTTTTTTTTTTTTTGTAGAGAGCTGTTCTCTACACATTTCCAAAGAGAGAAAAAAGAAGGCTTGACCCAGTATTTCACTTTGGGGTCTCTAGAGCTGCAACATAAGTAAAGCTTGCTAGGTGACAGAGAAGAAGATACAGCCAAGAGACTTGAGGATACAAACACACATATATAAACTGATCAGCACAATGGCCATAGGTTTAGGTCTTTGAAACAGGGAGATGGTATGGTTGGAGTTGGTTAAGAGTGTAAAGAATAAGAAAAGATATTGAGGAAAATACAGTAGGAAAGGGAGGAAAGTAGGACAATAAATAGAAGAGTTTGAAAAGTCAAATAATAGATATAAGGAAAAGGCATTTTCAGCAGCTGGTCATACTGAGTCAAAATTCTGCCCCTTCCCTTAACCAATTTCTTTAGTGTCCGATTCTAGAAATGACCTGTAAAAATGACCCAGATCTGTTGTTCTATTGCTGCTTCTTAGCAAATACCAAGCAAGAGCACAGATTATATAGAAAATAAAGTACTATGTGAATCAAAACTAACTCTCCCCCAATGAAACAAAAAACAGGCACATGTATATTAATGGTTACAACTTAGACCTCTTTAATTAGGGTTCCTGATTGTTTAATGACATTTTAACACATGTACTGGATGCCGACAGCGTGCCAAGTAATGGACTACATTTATAAACAGGAAGGAAGGAAGAAAGGAGACAAAAAATCTGTATTGAAGAGCTCAGAAGTGAGGAAGGAGACATTTACAAATAAATTCAATAAAATGTCTTAGGTACATTGAAATAAACATAAACATAGGCAGAGACCAAACAGGAGGGATAAGTTTTACC